ATTATTAATTATTAATAATAATAATAATAATAATAATAATAATAATAATAATAATAATAATAACAATATAATAATAATAATTATTATTATTATTATCAATTATTATTTTGGGAGAACCGTCTGCCTCATCTCTGTGAAGTCTCCTGAGCTCTGAAAGAGAAAGCTCTGAAGCAGCATCTCAGTCTCACATGAGCTCTATAGAGGAGCGTGAGGAGCATCCGGAGCGATCAGAGTCTGCGGGGACTGAGGGATTATGGGCCGGCGGGCGGCTCGTGAAGGGGGCTGTCAGCAGCTGTAACCCGTGACCCAGATCAGGACGGACAGACTGAAAATGGGATTACAAAGACTAGAGAAAGCTTACAGGCTCCTGCGACGCTCAAACACGAGAGCAGAACAGAACTGCACATCATTCACAGCTCAACACAAATACAGATCATCAGGAGAGAAACGAAAACCAGGACTGACGGAGTCTTCAGCCGGTTCACCTGAAGATACAATCACAATGATTATCTGACGATTACTGTGGGATTTTATTCCTCGAATCAGCTGAGAGTGACTGTGTGGCATCATTAATATTAAACAGATCATTCAGACTCTGAAATCTGATTGGATGAGACAAACAAAAGATGAATTTTATATGAATGTGACTTACCGGCTTACAGTCAGACTGATGAATTATATTAAAAGTGTTTCATAAGAACAGAACATCCCATAGAAACGAGCACTCACACCAGACAGGAGAAAAACTACTTTAAGAGTGAAATGTGTCATTTCTGTGTCACCAAAACAAACCGGACAAATAAAGACTATTCATCAAACACTCTGTCATTGGTCAGTCAGACAGATAGTCCCGCCCCAAACTCAGGTGATTGGTGGAGTCAGAAGTTGACAAACAATCAGATCAGTGCAGTGAAAGCTACATTCAAACTAACTAATGACTGACTCTGAACATGAATCTGACACACACTGAGCGTCAGGCTGGAGCTCTTCTTACTCACGCGTGCGTCTTCAGCAGATCAGTCTATCCAAACAATGCACCAGTGTGTGTGTGCCAGTCACCGCGGCTCGTGTCCGGCACCGCTCGCCCCCCCGCGGCCCGACTGACCGTCAGCTGGAGACCCGGCTCTGTTCGTCCTCACACCATCTGTCAGTGCAAACACAGGTCCTGGACCTTCACCAGCTTCCTGCTCTCAGAACACGCCCGCCGGCCAGCTATTTTCAGCAGCCGTTCACAAACACGTCACAGATACGATCGCATTCCACACGCCGCCTGCTGCAGACGACAAAACCCCGAACACGCCAGATTCACCGGCTGACAGACTGATCTCAACAGAGACCGATTTGTGTTTGCCCTGCCAAAATATTCACTGCATCCACCACAAAAAAAAAGAAAATAAAGAAATAAAGAAATATACACAAATAAATATGATAAATAAAAAAATTAAAATGAATAAATATACACAAATAAATATGAATAAAAAATAAATTAATATACACAAATAAATATGAAAAAAAAATACAAATACAAATTAATTAATTAATATACACAAAAAATACATAAAAATATTAAATAAAATATGCACAAATAAATATGAATAAAAATAAATAAATATACACAAATAAATATGAATAAAAAAAAGAATAAATTAATAAAAAATAAATACATTAAAAATGAATGAATGAATGAATGAATGAATAAACAAATAAATAATAAATAAATAAAATTTCACACTTCTTAATTCCAATTTTGGTTGCACAGCAAACCCGACTAGCCTTAGCCTAACTAATATAAATTTCAACCACTGTTCAAGACAAGTGATAAAATAATAACTGATGAACAAATTACAAGCAACAGCACAAATAAATACAACAGTATAAAGTTATTCATTGTATTCACCCTCATGTCATTCAACATTGAAACACAAAGGAAGATATTTTGTGTTTTTAAGTCAATGGGGTCCAATGTTGTTCAGTTCTTCTAACATTCTTCAAAATATTTTGTGTTCCACAGAAGAAAGAAACTCATAGAGGTTTGATGACAGAAAATGATGATTTCTGGAGGAACTAACCCTTTAATAAAGCAAAGATGTATTCATATGATGCTAATAATGTCAGAACAGCCATTCATCATGTGATTAACGGCCCGTCTGATGAATCAGTCCGTCTCTATCCAGTGTTTTTGACTCATTCGTATAACATGCAGAGTTTAGTAGCTGGAAATCTGATGCTGTGACAGTAATTGAGCTCCTGATTGAGTTTGTTTCTCTCATATTCTCTCCTATCTGCTCCAATCTTCAATCTGCCCGTGAACTGAGACTAAACACAGCGGTAATAAAGAGACAGTCACTGTAAACCAGTCGAGTACACCGATCAGGATTATTCAGAATCACTCATAAGAACAGAACCGTTTGATCACAGGAGGAACATCACGACACCGCGATCACTGGAGCCTCACTGCAGCAAACACACAGCAGCTCTTCTGACTGAACTCCAGAAAGACTCACGTACCTGGAATCAGATTCATATCGGAGCAAATCCGGACACATGTTCATCTGCTGAACAGACGATTAACGAGTCATTAGCAGCAGGACGAGAGCGAATCACAGTCCACACACGCTCTGACCGCGCTCAACGAGAGACACACACTCCTCCTGTTACTGACACACACACACAAATACACACCCAGAACACACCCGCTGAGACGCTTTCACTAACGGTCACACACACACTCGCATACACACACCAGATATACGGATACACACACACTCATACACACACACACACACACACACACACACACTCATATACACACACACACACACTCACACACACACACACTCACACACACACACTCACTCATACACACACACACACACACACACACACACACATACTCACGCATGCGGTGGGGGTTTATGGGTAAATAATCCCATCAGCCCCTGCATGATCAGGACACGTGTGATCATTTCCTGTCTCTCTCCTCATCATCATCATCATCATCATCACTGTAATCACTCTCAGTATCTGCTTTTCTGCTCATTCACACAGCATTCAGCTATTTTTACCGAGGTTTAATTGTATATAACCCATCTGCCATGAGGAACTCGCCCAGAGTGCAGCGCGTCAACACGCATTTCACTCATGGTGTTTGGCCTACATACTGCACACACACACACACACACACACACACACAAACACACAC